CCGGTTTCCCCCACAGATCAAACACATGCACTATAGGTGAATTGAATAAACTTAATTGGCTTTTGGCTTTTGTGTGTGTGTGTGTGTGTGTGTGTGTGTGTGTGTGTGTGTGTGTGTGTGTGTGTGTGTGTGTGTGTGTGTGTGTGTGTGTGCGTGTGTGTGTGTGTGTGTGTGTGTTTCAATGTGTGTGAATGAGTTTCCCAGTTCTGGAAGGGCAGCAGGAAGGGCATCCACTATGTAAAACATATGCTGAATAAGTTGGTGGTGCATTCTGTTGTGGCGGCCCCTGATAAATAAAGGGACTAAGCCGAAGGAAAATTAATGATTAAATTAATGCACTGTTGAAAAGGCAAACAAATGAGGAATTTATTTGTCACTGTCTCTGCACTGTTAAAAATGATTGTATTTTAAGATGTAAAAGCCTGTTTAAATGCTACTGCAAAAAAAAAAAAGAGATAAAAATTGATTACCAGAATTTCCCTCATGAATGTGTTGAAACTGTAAAAACTCATTTTCATATTTAATGTTAATTTAAAAGTAAAATTCTGTCATACAGAGCATTTTAATCATTAAAAATGTTGTGTGAATAGACAGGTTATATTATGTTAATTTTATAATAATTATTATAATGTCTTGACTTGTTTATGAATCTTTGTTCATTGCTTGTCCATGTTGTTTATAGTGCATTGTAAGTGTAATTTTCCGTTAATTTACTTATCAAGCTGTACAGTAGATGAGTTTTTTTCTTCCGTTGATTATTTCAGACTTTTAGCTAAAATTGTGGCCCTTGCTTGTGTATAATATAAAATGGAAGTCAATGACTATGAGAACTTTAAGACATATGCAATAACATACAAAATTGAGGTACTGAACATTTAATTATTGCACGTACAGTTAATACTAATTAATTGTGTGCCACTGTCTTCACTATAGGGGTGAAACAGTGGCTCGGTTGTTAGTACTTTCGCCTCACAGCAAGAAGGTCACTGGTCTGAGTCCTGACTGGGTCAGTTAGCATTTCTGTGTGGAGTTTGCATGTTCTCTATGTTCACGCGGGTTTTCTCCAGGTGCTTCGGTTTCCACCACAGTCCAAAGACTAATGTCGGCCATAGTGTATCTGTGTGAATGAGCGTGTATGGGTGTTTCACAGGGAATGCCAGCTGGAAGGACATCTGCTGTGTAAAAGATGCTGGACAAGTTGGGGGTTCATTCTTCTGTTGTGACCCCTGATGAATAAAGGGAATTAGCCGAAGGAAATTGAATGAATTTAATATGTTGAAGTTTGCAGTATTAGTTGTATTCTTCATATAAATTGCTGTTGGTTTGCAGCTCTATAATTGTCAGATCAGATCACTGTTACCCTGATAAAGGCGGGTCTTTGCCCAAACATGTAGGTGCAGTTCTAAGGATTAGCCATGTGAATAAAGGCTTTTTAATATTTTTTCCACATTTTTCGAGAGCCTTTGACTGATTTTTGCCTTTTTTTCAGATCTATTTTCACATAATTCTGGCAATTACAGTTAACATTTAGTTTTTATTTTTATTAAATTAAATAAAGATTGTACTCATTCCAAGCTACATTTCTAAACTGTAGAATTTGCAGCGTGTTCTATAAATGCTTCACTTAAATTCTCTAAATTCAGCCTCAAAATATTCACTAAATTATAACTACATTTTTTGGCAACTACATATTCTGGCAACCTCAGATGACAATTAATAAGTGTGTGCGTGCGTGCGTGCGTGCCTTCATGTTTTAAATAATTCCAAGTTTACCCTTTAACTTAAATTAGAACATATAATCAAGAGAAAACAATGAAATAAAAAAGTAGCACAACATGAGTTTTGATATTCTTTATTGATTTATAGACATTGATTTCCCCCCCTCTTTTTTCCCCATGGTAACTCCAAGTTTCTCCGATACCAGGTATTTCCATAATTTTTCAGTTTGATTTAAATTACATCTATAATATTTTACTCACATATGCATCTATTGGTTGATTTCCTTATTGCAATAAACAAGAGTAGCCAGTATGAGTTGAATATTGCTACGTTCCATTACACATACTGTTTTCCCATCTGACAATTTAGTTGAAAAATAACTTTATTGGCAAGACGAGGTTTGACCAAAGCTTCTCAGTGCGCGTCTGCTCCTGGAGAGGCCTGGGGTGGAATAAGGCTAAGGCTAAAATAGACTTCACCAACTAACATTACACCTGCCCTGAAAGGTTGAATAAATCTACCAAAGACAATTCTGTACAGTGATGACATTGCTCTGACTACAGGATGAACATGGTCTTTACAGTGTTGACGGATGGGACTGTGGTCTGTGATGGCTTTTTCACCTCATGTGTTTTCAATGGGCCGTTGAACACCTGGTTTCAGACTACAGCATGTGTCAGTGCGTATAGTGTTGTTCTCCCAAAACGCTCATCTGAAATCAGCTGAAATCACTGTCCACTGATTGTTTTGATATTTAGGTTTGGGATAGAAACAGCTGATCGCAAATGGGCAGTTTAAAGGTGTAGGTCACCTAAAAATGGAAACTCCGTCATTATTTACTCACCCTCAGTACTGTAAGTGTAAAGATGGTCGTGATATTTAGACAAAAAGTTAAATTTGGGTCAGAAATTTAGATATGAATATAGACATCACAGAAGACTCATAGACTATTTTTAGTGTTTTTGACCATTTATAATAGGGCTGCACGATATATCATTTCAGCATTGCTTTTGCAATGTAATCATTCACGATAGTCTCATCGCAAGAATTTTTTGAGGTCTATGACTGCATAATGATTTAAAAAAAATCAGGGATGAGAAATTGTACTGTTAAAAATTGTAGGAAAAATGATAAAACACTTAATTTCAATTGTATTTTTTATTTACTGTAGTTATCTATGTTTGTAGATTGTTTATAAGATTTCATGCAGATGCACTTCTCTACAGAATCATCCCAATCGATCTAAAACGAGCAGTTCTTTCCAAATGTCTGGTGAAATTGTAGTCATATCACGATATACTGTTGAAGTCAGAATTATTAACCCCCCCTTTGAATTTTTATTTTATTTTTTAAATATTTCCCAAATGATGTTAAACAGAGCAAAGCAATTTTCACAGTATGTCTGAATATTTTTTCTTCTGGAGAAAATCTTATTTGTTTTATTTTGACTAGAATAAAAGCAGTTTTTAATTTTTTAAAAAACATTTTAAGGTCAAAATTATTAGCCCCTTTAAGCAAATATTTTTTTCGATAGTCTAGAGAACAAACCATCGTTACACAATAACTTGACTAATTACCCTAACCTGCCTAGTTAACCTAATTAATCTAGTTAAGACTTTAAATGTCACTTTAAGCTTGTATAGAAGTGTCTTAAGAATATATAGTAAAAAATATTTTATTGTCATCATGGCAAAGATAAAATAAAACAGTTACAGAAATGAGTTATTAAAAGTATTATGTTTAGAAATATGTTCTTTCTGTTAAACAGAAATGGGGAAAAAATGAACAGAGGGGCTAATAATTCTGACTTCAACTGTATATCACAGAATAACAAAATATTGCAATGTTCGATTTTTTCCAATATCGTGCAGCTCTACGTTTTAATACTTGGTGCATCTTTGTTGGATGAAGTGAAACAACTTTTTTTTTTTTACATTAAGTCCCCTTTTTGTCTTAAACAATAAGGTGTAAAATTAAGGTTTTTCATAGAAAAAAAAAAATTTATTATTGTAGACCTTTAAACAATTTAACCTTCAATGTGATATATGCATATTATATAGATATGATCTGGTTTAGACTAGGCACAAGAGGATAACTGGTTTCAAGGTTTACCGCGGTTTGAAAAAGTCACAGATTTTACAACCAACTTTCCTAAGGTATTTGTAAGTTTTTTTTTTTGTTTTTTTTTTACACGTTTTTTATTTTATTTAGTTTTTAAGGGCAGCAATATCTTTAGAAGAAATCGACAACTCCACATCAAAAGCTACTGGTCAGCTCACGATTCAGGAAATATTTGAGAAACAAATCACTTAAAAATCAGCATCCAAGCATGCTTTAGACCTGAACTGTGCAGAGACTTACTTTATATCCAAAGAAAAGCTACATATCCAAAGATGCCCTTTCAAGTTGTAAGGAAATCTGTGTTTTTGAAACATTAGACTTGCTTGGGTTTTCTCTGGGTGCTCTGGTTTCCCCCACAGTCCAAAGACATGCGCTATAGGCAAATTGGATTAACTAAATTGGCCGTATTGTATGTGTGTGAATGTAAGAGTGTATGGGTGTTTTCTGGTGTTGGATTGCGGCTGGAAGGGCAGTCACTGCGTTAAACATATGCTGGATCAGTTGGCGGTTTATTCCTCTGTGGCGACCCCTGATTGGTAAAGGGAATAAGCCCAAAAATAATGAATGAATAAAACTTTTAGACTGACATCTTTACTGTTCCAAAATTTTAAAAATGTTTATTAAAATAAAATAGTTTGTGTTCAGTGGGGAAAAACATTTTTGTTTTTTTACCCAGAAATTTAAATAAACATTTTTTAAAGCAGTAATTACAATACTGTGAAACAGGCATATTTTTATCCAAGGTTATCATACCTTCAGAATCTTATACCGGTCCATGAATAGTTTAGACAAAAAATAATAAGAGCATATGCTTTTGTTGAATAGTAATTTGACTTGTATTTAAAGTTTTAACAGCTAATTTTGGGAAGAAAAAAAATAATACCCATGATAGTGGAGTTTTGCAGGACTATTATTTATTATTTTCTTAAAATGTATTTTTTTTTTTTTGAAGGTAAGATTTATGAAGCTCCATCCATAACCAGATCTTGCAGAAATTTTCTAATTTGTGTAAATTAGCCATCAAATCTCAAAAATTGCAATGAAGGTGTCTCTTATAAATGAATATGTACCTCTAGTACTCTAGTACATAAACTCAACAATATGATGTCAGTTTGATATGTTGTACATCTGTATTTTTCATCATTTTGAGAGGTCCACGGTTGTTGTACTGTGATTTATTTTATTTTTATAAAGTTCTCCTGTGTAATAGCAGCATAAAAAAGCTTTGTAATGACACAGAGAGTGAGCAAATGACTGAAGTTTTCAATTTTTATGGTAAAAACTATCCCTTCAAGGCAGATTCTTCTCATCATAAGTATTAGACGCTTTATGCACATGACAAGACATGATACACACTGACATAAAATCACAGCACCCTTATTAGTGCCTTGATAACTAATGAGAAATAGAGGTAAAGTTCCATCAAAGCACAGTGGTGGATGCTAACAACGGTTAGCACAAAGTAATGGCATTACCATGACGTTTCCCACACAATGCAAACAATGCCACAAACAAACAAAAATGTGAACTAAGCTACATACGCAAAGGCTATGGCTGACTACACATTGTTTGCGTTCAGATATACCCTGTCCCTTGCTCCGAGATGAGAGAAGACCCTTTAATATGAAGGGTCTGTCCCCATGGGTGTCCCTCTCTTGCTTTTAAACTCCCAGCTTTTTGTACTGAAAAGGCTAATTTACTGTTTCACTGTGGAAGAACATGGAGGCCTATTAGCAGCCTTACAGAACCATTTAGAAATGCTCTTCTACAACAAATGACATAATTCAATTGCTTATTGCATTGCAATATCCAAACAACAGTAAGACATCGTCGCACTTTGCAAGTCAATGGAAGACCACCAACTCGGCAGGCCTTAGTTTGATGTTTATCCATTTGTGAACTTCGCTTCCTCCAGATGTATTTTCCACAACATACAGGACGCATTTCAATCCCACCCGAGTGCAGGTTTTCAATCTTCCATAGAAAAATATTCCTGTTTTTTTTCATTTTGTTCTCATTTTTTTCTTTTTTTCGTCAGATTTTCCACAACAATATTTGTTCAACAAAACCGTGTGCTATGAAAACAAACAAACAAAAAAAAACAACAACCATTGATCATAATAAAAAAACTAAAATAATAATATGCATTGCATGGCTTTAGATTCAAGACAGGAAGTTCATACCAAAAAAGGGGAGATTGCACAGTCAAGTCCTCTGACCTCCTCTGCGTCTTCGCTTTCGTCAATTCTCTATGTGTCTGCTGGAGTAGCTGACCTGCGGTGTCAGTATTTGTTAGGATGCAGGCGTCTTGTGAGACTGAACGCAGAAGTTGGACAGAAGGGGGAGGAGGCGTATTGCTTGGGGTTGCATAATGTCCACCGAACATACAGAGATAGAATGAACAGAGGAGCCTGTATATACTGTAAGTCCTAGTGTGTGCTTAGGTTTGCTGCCTTTCTCTGAGAATCAAAGTACCCGTCCGTCTTATTTCAGCATCTACCAGCAGTTACATCATCCTCTACGTACATATTTCACTTCTGAACATTTTCAGAAGTCAACCAGCTTGGATGTACTGGACTAAACTACGCTACACAATAGAATAAATAGACGTCTACTGATTTTTCTAAGATCTAAGACAGGGGTCTGGGGGTTTTCAGACAGCCGCTCTTTGTGTTAACAGATTGAAATGCGATCTCGAGTATCTCTTCTGTATCTTTCCATTTCTCCTGAGAGATGCTACTGTGTGAAGTCAGCTTAACAACAACACCATCTGAGCTTCTCATACTCAATGCGAGCCAGCATTCGGAAAGCATCTTTCCCAAAATCCCCTGCTCTAAGTCTTGACACGGTGGAACTGCAATGGAGATTGTGGCCATTTCTTCTTGCAGAGATGTCAAAGCCAGTCAGGACACGTTGAATACAGCAAATACTACGAGAAGCTTACTGATGTAACACGGTTTCTCAAGGTGCATAGGGTCGAGGGTGCATTGATTTAGAACAACAGGTACAGAAACATTTAACCGTGTGTTTTTTGGGGTCTCTAGAAAGTTTCCTAACTCAATCCAGCATGTCTGGCTACGACAGGACTGCTGCTACCTCACAGTATGAGTATAAATAGTGGGAAGGAACTAGGACGTCAGCATACAATATTGCTCGATTCCAGCAGTCCTTCCATTTATCCATTCATCCACCGATGAACAAATCACTTGATCCAAACGAACGCACAGAGATGGAGGAGGCAGTTAAGGGTGATGGAAAGAGGGTTGGAACGCCAGTCACACCCTCCTTCTTGGTTGCTCTCAATTTTGCGCCCCCTTCTGCTTGGTTTGATGATTGACGTTATTGTTGATGAGCCGATTCTTGTCATTGCTGTGGTGTTTCACTATTTTTTTTTTCGTCGTCTTCACAGTGTGCTTTAGGAGATGAGGCTCCGGACTGGCTGTGATTGGCTAAGGGGGGTGAGGGCGGAGTCAGTACGGTGAGAACAAGATTGGCCCGTGTGAGGTGCGAATGGGCCCTGGAGCTGGTCTTAAGATGGCATGGCTGAGATGCGGAGCCTGTAGGAGGTGATGATGTGGATGGGGGGCGGGGGCTGCTGCTCTGAGAGCCAGTGGATTGGAGGAGGCGGCTGCTGCCATTGCTGCAGCTACAGCTAGGGGACTTGGCAGGAGGCCGGCGCCTAATGCTTTGGTGAGATCCTGTATGAAGAGAAACAGTTCATGACCCATTGATACCATGACATTCATATCTTTCAGCGCATTAAAGCAGTGGTCCTCAACCACCTGGGATCACTACCGGTCCATGGATCAATCTTTTTTAAATTTTTTTTTTTATTTTGAAAAATTTCCGTATTCTCTCGATTACATCTGAGTCACTTGAGCGCCCAAATTTAACCCACAAGCAGCAAAATGAGTAAGAAACAGACGTCTTTAAAAAGTTTCTTGGCTAAGGGGAAAAGGCCCAGTGAAGGCTCCATGGACTGCCAAGCAATGGATCCACAATCCATTCGTCAACAAATCAGGTGAATCCACCATGGCTGTGCAAGAAGATCAACTGATGGATATACCAAATGACGACGGCCTTTTAGGGGCCATTTGCATATCGCGTCTTTTACCCTCCCCATTTCTCCCCCTACCCCAGTCCGCGGTAAATTTGTCAAACGTTGACCGGTCTGCGGTGATAAAAAGGTTAAGGTCCACTGCATTAAAGGATTTAAGCTGCTCTATTATTGGTTAGAACCTACCGCAAGGTCAGCTCCCCTGTGCTTCTTGTGTCTGCTCAGGAGAGGGTTTGGCTTTCCCGCAACGCCGTCCCGATGCCTTCGACTTGATATGTGCTGCAAACAAACAGAGCATACCGAACTTAAGTATGTAGATATATAGCAAAAGTTAATATTGGTCTCTTGGGAACCATGAACAACCTGATGAGCACACAGATTAATGTTCTTTCATCAAAGTATGATCACTGTGGACCTTACTCACCTGTTTGAGCTGCAGTTCTGAGTTGACCCGCACGTTGCAGATCTCACAGTGGAAGGTGCGTTCCTGAGTATTGGGGTCTGTGGCTCCGCCTCCCTGCTCCCTGCTGGGCTTCGGACCTAATCGTGGGTACGCCTTAATGGGGCCCAGTCCACTGCGGGCCTCCAGAATGGTTTTGTGTTTAGTGCCTGAAGATCGCAGATAAAAGATTGTTTATGTAAAACTTATGTAAATGCATGTATTGGGAAGTATGGGATTGGTGTCAGTATAATGTTTATTATTTTCTTATTATTATGATTAATGAACAAAACATAAACAGAAACAAATATTTTATATTGCAAATTTCTTTACATTCACCTTTTTAAGTTATAATGGAAAAAAGAGACTATTACACATCATAATTATTATAATATTATTATTCAATAATAAAATATGGCTCAAATTAATGTAATAAAAATAACATAAAATAAAAAACAGCATTGTGACATCCAGATGTGACCACAAGAGGGCCCTAGAATCTTTCTCTTTGGCTTCCCTTTGACTGCAGCTGCTCGTGTCTGGAATGAGTCTTATTTCTGTCCATGTGTATAATACGCAGTCACACCATTCTTTTATTGGAATGTTTCACATTTGTGAATCATATCCTTTTTGATTTTCATTCAGGTTACATTATTGTACAGGAAAGTTTTTAAATCAAGGCGTCTGTCTGGATTTCGATTTCAAAACCAAATTCCTCAAGTTTTTGAGATTTGTTAAATTTGGCTTTCCTCGTTACAACGAAGCTCATCAATTTTCCATATCCTGTGTTTGGAGCCACACAACACATGGTTCTACTTAAATGATGCGCCGTCATGTTCCTGCCTTCACAATGTCAATGAAAACACAGCTAAGATATGGACAAAAAACACACGTGATGTCCATATGCTTGGGAATTAATGTCTTTGTTTTGCTTTTAACCAACACTAGGAATGTCGACAAATTCCATTTGTCAGACCAAAACCAGACCTCATTTTCTCCCTTTGACCAATAAGTTACCTTAAAGGGACAGTTTACCCAAACAATGTAAATGCATTCACTATTTATTCACAACTCAAATGGTTATAAACCTTTATAAATATCTTTCTTTTGATAAAAATAAAAGAGATATTTTAAAGAAAGCTGAATACCTGTAACCATTGACTTCCGTAGTAGCAACTGTGGAAATCAATGGTCACAGAAAAAGAAACTATGGGTTTGAAACAAGTAAAGGGGGAGTAAACGATGACAGTGTTGTTATTTTTGGGTCAACAATTCCTTTAAGATTATATTTGATGAAACAAGGCAAGAAACAACCTCAAAAGTTCTTTGCCCCATTCAAAATGTGCTCTCATGCAATATTTACACTTCAGATTTGTTCAAGACTATGAGCGTTGCTAGTTTCACTGTGTTATGGTCATTTGTATATGCCATTTCAGAAATAAACAGATGAAACAGCAGTCGATTGCTGGGTCTGGACATACAGCTGCAGAGCTAGAAGTGTTGTCTGCACAACATATGATTTTATTTTTGGCCTGGTTTAATTCAGGGAATGGTCTGTATCAATTCCAGATAGCTTTCCAAACCCAGGCCACGATTATAAATTTAACTTTCATCGCAGAAACGCCCTGATATCACTCATAACTTGTAATGTTTACTCTAAAACGTGGTCAGGTTCCAATAGCAATGATTTCCATGTGGCTTCCATCATATCAAAGTGTGAATGTGCGCCTTTTAATTTGCCCCATAAACAAGTGTCAGATACTCTATATAAAGGCATTAATTTAGTTTGGCCCAAGGAAAAGCAGACTTTTTAATCAACAAGCCCAACATGAGAATTCCTAATTACATGGCATAAACATACTGAAACTCTGACTGTAGACTTCCAAGCTAAATAAAAGAGGAGATCAATAATAAATAGAGTTGTGTGTGTGCCTTTGCAGCAGTCTCTTCAACATCCACCTTCGTCTCTTCAAACAGGGTTGTTTGTGTTGACACAGACTGAATAATAGAGCAGAATGAGATCTGCTCAGGCATTCGATACACCAGCAGAAATCAAACACTCTCCCAAAATACTACAAGCTGCAGTGCAGTGCAAAAACCGATCTACTTTAGTTCATTTTTGTGGACACCTTTGGGGCAAACCAAGAGGACAGGCGGCGCTGTAAAGTTGTGTATAAATCATGAGTGAGAGAAAGCTTCTGAAGACGTCCGTTTTAGAAGTAAGGGTTTTTCTGTGATGGACGTAATTGCTAGTGTTCCTTTGTGAGCTGCCTTGAGCTAGCAAAGCATATTTCTGCTGCTCTCAGAACAAGATAAATCTTGCAGACTGTTCTTAAAATAATTATGTCTTCTGAAGTAATTTGTGCAGGAATTGAGCAAGACAACCAGAAGGTCCAAATTTTATATGTTGCCAAGGTCAAAGTTGTCATTGTAAGTCAATGTTACATTTAATTGAACAAGGAATGTGATTCTCCCATATGGAGTACCAACCAAAACAAAAACCAAATGAACTGAACTGTTGTATGCTACCTGACAAAAGTCTTGACGCCAATCCAAGTTTTTAAAAACAATAAATAATAGCTAGACTTCTAGTTGGTCATTTAGTTTTAGAAGCGGCTCATATGAAAGGCAAAGGCCTCTAGATTACACTTATTTTACCACAACAAATTATGATCATGCCTTGATTTTTAATTATTTAATTAGGACAGTAAGGTCTGACTTTGCTGAGACAAAAGTCTGGTCACTTAACAGAAATAATGTACAGTATAGACTATAAAGACATGTTACAATGGGAAAGGATTTAATATAGAGTATGACTCCCATAAACCTGGACGACTGCATTCATATCAGCAATGACTCAAATGACTTATTAATAAAGTCATCTGGAATGGCAAAGAAAGCGTTCTTGCAGGACTCCCAAAATTCCTCAAGACTCTTTGAATTTATCTTTAATGCCTCCTCCTTCATCTTACCCCAGACATGGTCTATAATGTTCATGTTTGGTGACTAGGGTGGCCAATCCTGGGCATTTATATCAAATTTAAAATAATAATGTTTTCATTTAGAGCCTTTCCTTAGGTATAAAATAAAATGGTGCCATCTTTTCAAACACATTAAAGAGTCCTCAAGCAGAAACGATCGGCAGCACATAATCAATTCCCTTTAAATGGCCTCATAATGGTGTTGTTTTCCTGTAATGAAAAGCTATTTCCGCTACATATCATTGCTGCATATATGACTTTTTGTTATCTGAAAATAGCTTCATATCATAGCATCTTATAATCATTCCAAATCACAGTTACATGCGAGTCCCTCACAAGAAAATCCACAGGGAGCATTGACTATTATCCATAATCTCTCTGCCTCTAAGCACCCATTGGAGACATTTTATTGCGTAATCAGTCAGCATGTTATGTTATTGAGTTCAGAAGAGCTGTCGCTAAATGAATGTTCACCTTTATTGTGAGCCTCCAGCTGGGAGAGTGAATTGACGGCCACTTTGCACAGTGAGCAGTAAAGCAGCTTCTTGGCTTTGTCCTCTTCAGTCTCAGGGTTGCTGGGAGTGACTGATGGAGCCCCAGGGGCCCCGGTGCCTGCCTGTTCTGGGTTTGAAGAGCCACAGCTGGGGGACGAAGAGCTGGCCGGAGGTGGTTGTGGTGTAGTAGGGGTGGGCAGAAGGGGACAGGCAGAAGGACCAGGGGACTCTGGGGTTGGTGGATTGGAAACTGTCATGGGCCCCAGGGCCACCGCGGGTCCATTTAACTGTGGCTCTGGCCGTGTCTCATCTGGAGAGCAAAGCAAACAACAAAATGGCATTTAAATGGACTATTTATGGGAGTTAATGGGCTCTGCTGTTTCATCTTTGAAAATAACAAAGTTGCTATGCAGGAATTCAAGAGCTTCGGTTCGTGCCACAGAAATCAGTTTTTTTTTCTTTTTCCTGTAAACCGCAAACCAGGCGTACCTCAAATACCTCGTCTCAAAATGTGCAACCCCAGATTTTATAGACCACATAAAAACAAGTTTGCAAAAAATTTACTTTATAAAACAAAATTAATTACATATGATTGTATTTTTTATGAGCCTCCACATATTGTTCTGTTTAATTTTGTGACGTAAAATGGAAGATACTGAGCAATATGTAACCGTGCAGTTTGAAGTTTTGAACTTTGCTAATGCTAAATGACAGGGAGAGCAAGCAAAATCCATCATAACTGCCTCGCGTATGGCTATTGTATGGCTAACAAAGTCTTTTTTATAAAATAAATGCACATATTACAGAAATTATTTCATATATTTTAAAGTGTCATTTATGTCTCTGATGGCAAAGCTGTATTAAAATCAGTGCAGTCTTCAGTGTCACATGATCTTTTAGATCATTCTTTCTTTTTAAATCATTCTTTTTAATAATACAGTATTTTATAAACCTTTAAAGACAGATTTGTTGTAAGCTCTAATGTTATTAATTGTATATACTTTAGTAAAACCCATATCATTTAGTGGAATTTGTATATAAAAACAAAACTCACAATGCCGTACAAAACTATCAACCAATCAGAGAGTGACAGTGAGCAAAATCAATCAAGAGATAAATCAAGCTTAAAATGCTTACATTTTTGTGTATATGTGCAGATTTGGCAATAAACGTAAAAAGAAATGTTTCCATAAACATAATCTGTGACTTGTCATACAGTCTATACACCTATAGTTTTACATTTCTCCAGAGTTTATGCACTTGTCATTTTCAGTGCTTCATAGGATTGTAATTTAATTCAAAAAGATTAGTTTGCTGGTGCATATTAATATTTTTAAGGCAAACAACTAATCCATTGGAAACAAAACTGTTTTGTTAAACTTTAATCAAAGTTTGACCTTTTCTTCTGCTCTGGAATGTTTGAGTTGGAAATACATCTCTAAATTTAAAGTCTGCAGCAAACTCTGGTTCATGCTGACTTTAAGCAAAGTCCCTTTAGACAAGTCATTTCACTCAGCAGCCATCTTTGAAATGCCTCTCAGGCTGTATGCTCGGGCATTCTGTCTGAATGGGGAAATATCAAGTTCTCCAAAACTGTTTGCCAAGCTTACAATTACATTATTTACAATTAAAGTCCGAATTATTAGCCCTCCTTAGATGTTTTTTCTTTTAAAATATTTCCCAAATTATGTTTAACAGAGCAAGGAAATTTTCACAGTATGTCTGATAATATTTTTTTTCTTCTGGAGAAAGTCTTATTTGTTTTATTTTAGCTAGATTAAAAGCAGTTTTTAATTTCTTAAAAACCATTTTAAGGTCAAAAATTTTTTCTTTACGCTATTAAGTGTTACAAATTATCATCCTCTGGGTAATGCTTTCTCAGGTCGCCCAGGTCTTCTAAAGTAATTCACAACTTGGTTTTGATAGTGAATCCCTTCCAGAAATAGCAGTGACTCTTTGTTAACAATTTTGGCCCCACTTGTAATTGCTGTCATGTGATGTGCATTTGACAGGAGGTGCTGCACCTCACGTTCGTTTCATGCAGATTACAAAACCAAAAAACATTTGTTTTTAAGTGCACTTACAGTTCATTTAGTAGTACAGACTTCAAGCTTTATTTGGAAATATTTCCTATGTCTGTGAAGCAAGTATTTGCTGAGATTACAGTGTGTTTGTTGACCACCAAACTGTCGTAAAAGCACACATCTGGCCCGAGCTTCTTCCCAAAGAAACGTCAGATTATAGCAATCAATGGTTGGCTCCTGTACTAGTAGGCAGGCCTTGATTCGCCATATTGACCGTTATACTTTTGCCTACTCAAAACAGCACGAGTGACATGTCTTGTTTATTCTATAGTCTTCGCTTAAAGTAAGTCTTATTTGTCTTTTGTCTGATTACTATAGACTTATTTGCTTCAGGTCAACATTTGTAATGTCCGAGCTGGTTTTTGCCTTTAATCACTTCGGTAGTGATTGTGATTTTTGAATATTTTTTGATTTACTATAAATGATTTGTGTCATTTATAAATGTCTTTACTGTCACTTTTAATTAATTTAGTGCATTCTTGCTGAATAAATGCAATTGCCAGTTTTTTTTTTTTTTTTTTTTAAATCGCAATAAATGTACAATGACAATACAAACTCTATGCTTGTGTGTTTTGGAAAATCAAATCCATAGTCCTGGCAGTGCTAGGATCAGTTAACTCACAAAATGTGCAATCGTTTTGACATTCACACTAAACTGGAAGCAGCACATTACACAGTTCCAGCTGTCACATTCAGTAAAAAAGAGGGTTTTCTTTCCCCACTATATGAGAAAACTTAAGGGCAAACAACCAGCCCACACATTATGGCATCAGTAAGACTACAAATAAGCATCTCTCGGGCTGGAAAATAAGCAGTGACTTTACTACTCAATTTCCTTACAGAGATCAGCTTTTTTGTCATTTTACAAACATTTGACCACAACGTCTTACATAAACCTGGTCATTCCAACTCAATTTCCCTCTTCCCCAGAAACACACCATTCACCATGGCATTTAAAGTTCAATAGCCACTTCAGTGGTAGCAAATCCTGAATGGCAGGTGGATAAGAGCTGGTTAGAAGCAACCAGATCCTTCGTTTAACAAAGTTTCCAGGCAGATTTCTCAGTGTCGATCTCTGTTTGCAGAGCAGATGAGAGGCTGCGCTGTATTTCTTTAGGGCTTGAGCTCCTGTCAGAGCCTCATAAAGATCATCTGGATCAAAGTACTGGGTGATGACATACTGCTCCTTTGGAAGATACAGGATGTTACAGCAAACCACATGACCCTTTAAAAAAACACCAAATATAGATCAGCTATTCGTCCAATAGCTTTTACAAGAAGGAGCAGACCATGTGGTGCAGGTGTGGTTCAGAAATGCCTGAACTTTTAACTCTGAGCTAATATTCCCAGTGCTCTTTTTTCCATAACACTCCCCAATTCTCTTACAAGCCGCTCCTTCTAACAAACACACACGCACTCGCACACTCAGAAAAATGTTGGTTTGGCTTTGTGCATGTGGTTTGTATTAGCAGATCTTGGCCGAGGGGGTGGAGGAGCGTGCGTGTAATGGGGGATTTCAAAATCCTCCATCGTCTGGATGTTTGCCATCCACCACCATCATTGACATGCCCTCCATGTTTGCTGCAATGTGTGACCGTCTGCCCTCCATTTATTCTTGCTCTGCATATTTCAAAGTGCGGTTACACAACATGCACTCTCAGAGGACTCATATTTAATGTCGAAATTAACTCGCGTCTTCCTTCCACTGCTGAAGGAGTCAGATGCTGTAAACACTATAGCTAGTAATGATGTAAATATTTTTATCAGGGTTCAGAGGTCCAAAAGAAACCCTAAATATTATGGTCTAATACTGCTTTTAACATGCAACTTTAGCAAACAAACAGTGGCAGTGGAATCATGGGCTCCATAAAAATGGTGAAGTGCTGGATGGGATGCCACAAATTCCTTTTGTTCTATTCAATTTGAAAGTACAATTCTCACTAATAACAAACTTTTAACTCTGACTTTAAGCCAATTTAGCCCTTCATTTTGCTGCTTTTTTATAGTCATTAAGTTAATAGTTTAGGTTGTATTAAGAATGTAGAATAAGATAATGTGAAATATGTGCTAATAAACAGTTGTTTCCTTAATAATAGGCAGATAATAGGCCAGTAGTTAATAGTAGGAATTGCTAATTAAGTTAAAGAGTTAAGCTAAACTTTTTTGTTGCTGTGGTGTAAAAGATTATATACCGCATTTCATTTAATTTAAGAACTTATTCTCACCAAGGCTGCATGTACCTAATACAAAAAATGATTATACCTAATAGTGATACTAATTTCTATATTGATATTTGCATTAATGCTCAGCATATCGATGTGATGAAATCCCTAGGAGGAGTTTGTTAAAATACAACTCCTGGAAATACCAAGAACTACACATTTGTTTTGCAGAGGAAGTTAAAAATATCTAACTTCCTGTTGGGTTTTGGACTTCACTCCAAGATACTTTTTTGTATTGGCACGTTTGATAGGTGTGCCAATTTTTGAATGTGTGGGTGAAACCTAGCTGAGGTTTGTCAAATGTGCATAGGTGGCGCTGTCGAGCCATTTTGCCACACCCATTTCCAAAACCTACAACAAACGTACATTTTGCCACTTCTGTGTGCAAAGTTTCGTGAGTTTTTAAGCATGTTTAGACCCTCAGAATCACGATTCATTCTAGAGAAGAAGAAGATGATGATATGGGGTTTGATTAAGAATGTAGAACAATATAATGTGGTAACAAAATATGTGCTAATAAAGTCTTTTTTATGTAGTTAATGAATTGGTAATTAAGCTCAACTTTTTTGTTGTTGTGGTGTAAAATATTATATACTGCATTTAATGTCGAGAACTTACTGTATTCTCACCAAGGCTGCATTTACCTTATAAACATAATAATACCTAATAGTAATACTAATTTCTATAACATTTGTATTAATACTCAGCATATTGGCATAAAATACAGCATATAGGATATACAATGTTGTCAATATGATATATTAATAACAATACAGTTATTGATATTCTTTTAGATTTGATAATCTTGCTAAAACATATTGTTTTTACAGGTGTTGTGTTAGAATTAATATAAAAACTTCTTTCTTACACACCTCCACAAAAATCTAAATAACCCAATAAAGCATAATATTTGTTGCCTCATCATAACACAACAGCATGGACAGGTCATTTTAACCATTTGGAAAAAATATTTGTGTTAGGGCTGCACAATATAACGTGTCAGC